TTATGACATCACACTGTCTATTTCAATCTCTCACAATGATGTGTTGGCATGGGCACTGAGCACTGGCCCTTTAGGAATCACTGTGGTTAAAGAAACAGGGGTGAAGAAGGGCACCGCTGTGTGTTACATGCCTATGATGATTGGCTTCTCCGAGCAGCTTTCAGTGATCCACCATAACCAACATGCACACACTCACATACACGCACACAAGCATACAAGCATCTAGGGCTGCCCCCTGAAAGTCGACGAGTCGAATCATCTGTCGGGGACCCGTCAGTCGACTGAGATTCTTCAAGTCGAGCAGTCGTTTTTTTTGGTCAGTCAGTGTGCATTACAATAACAGGATAAAACAGATAGAAGCTTACAAAAATGCACAGGGGGAATCATAAATATTTTTTTATATTCTAGCAGGGTTAGCTGGCGCGTTGGTTAAAAAAAAAAAATCCACGTGACAACATGCGCTGGTGGTTAACTGATGAGAGAAGCTGAAACCTGAGGTGGAGGTATAATGCAGGAAGGGGTGTACTGGGAAAGAAATTCAGCCCTGGCTTGCTCGGGAATTAAAGTAGCTAGCTAGCTTCCTTGCCTTGATAACTGCACACAGCTAACATTGAAAACTTGTCGTGTTTTATTTAGCGTTTATTAAAAAAACAGCTGTGACAATGCAATATTTTACTTAGGTTGGATGAGCGTGTTGTTGGTAAGCTTACGCAACTAAGCTTTGTTTGAACTAATCGTGACGTGACTTTGTCGGTGTCAAAGTAAAGGATTAGGTCACATACAAACGTATGTCATTGAAATCTGCCGTGCAACATGCCTTAACAGCAAAAGCATCAATGAAATTACAGCATCTTGTTATTGAAATAAACGTTCATTTCTCAGTCCTCCCAGCTGAACCATTTCATCAGATGATAGTCTGTTTACAAGGCTAATTTAACCCTTTCGCACGTAACTTATTTTTTATGCTTTGTAGCGCCCGTGTTACATTACATGGTTCGTTATGTTTTCATTAGCGTTATTAAGCTTTTCATAGTTTTCAGTTAGCATTTGCTATATTTTTTAATGTTAAATCGCTGTTTCCTCAAAGCTAAAATTAGGTAGAATTTTTCCAATCTAGTTTTCTAATCGCACCGGTTTTAGCATATGTGCTAAACAGGTAATCACACTGGTGTGACCGTACGTGCGAAAGTGAGATGGACAGCAAATATTCTGCAATGGACTTACTGGTAAAATACAATATGGACACATGATATTACAGATGCTAACGTGTGGTCTGTTGTTTTCTCTACATGGTGTTACACCATTGCTTTGTAATTCTCTCTGGATGAGTGCATCCACTAAACAGCTAAATGTAAATAGATACTTGTCAGTGCAGAACCATAGTCATTTGTGGAGCATACACAAAGTACCAAGCAGTGATCATAAGCTGAGTATTATTTTATTTCCTACTAACACACACACAAAGCCTAACGATGATCTTAAACAACATTACAATAAAACAGACTGCTGTCTTTGCACAGATGGCAAAGGGGGTGTTGCTTTGGCTCATTTATGTCTTTCATCTTTTTTTGTTTTTGTTTTTGTTTTTTTGGAGCTGTCACTGGTGGTGCCACAGTGTAGTTTGGGGAATGCAGGAGAGATTAGAGGCACATTATTAATAACCTGAGCTCTCCTCTCTGCGCCCCGTGCAGGAACTATGGTGTCACTCACACCAGCTGGTGGGCTTCTGCTACGACTGGTAATTAGAGATTGTGACACACTCTCTCTCTCTGTCATACATCTCTTACTTTCCCTCGCTCTTCTCATTTACTTCCACCCCCCGTCCTTGTCTTGCTGGCTCTGCCACTCCCTGTCTCTGGCACACACCCCCACCCCTTCCCTCTCTCTCCCTTCCTCCGGCTGTTGAGGGTGGGATGCATTAGTTGGGGAGGGATTTTGGGTGCAGTTGGTGGGGAGTGCCTCTTTGTATCTCTGGATTTTGGCATTTCTGGACTTGCATCTCCAAACAGAGCTGTGCTGCTTGGATTGGACCCATCACAGTGAGGTAAGTGGAGGCATGGCATTCATGTGTCTCAGCCCCGGCCTGAGGACCAGCATACGGTAAGATCCACCGAGCATCAACAAACACGCACTTTCTGCCTCACTCTTGGGAGAGCGCGCACTGATCCAGGAGATGCACACGGTTGGTTTAATTCTAGCGTGCAACCTTTCTGTGCAGTGGTCAGAAAGATTGCTGTTGTTTGTAGTGGATGATTTGTACAATTTGGCAGGGGTCTTTCCTCCGTTTTCACTGGCTGGTCCTGAAAAAAGCTGTTTTTATTGGGATGTGCATTTTAAATTTATGGCCACATAATTCAGTTTGTTCAGCTGTTGCATCATATCTATATGTATGCAGTTAGCCAAGACCAGTATCCCAGGGAAATGACAGAACTTGCCATTTCATGGCATACATATTAATTTATACTAATGCTTACTTGCAGAAGCAGTTAAGAGTAAGTGCCTTGCTCAAGATTACAGCAACAGTGCCCCACCTGGGAATCAGACACAGCTTCCAGATTAAAAGCGCGTCTTCAACACTGCACCACACTCTCACAGTGCAGTGCAGTGGAAAGTCCAAACCCTGATGATCATTATGGGGTGGTTCATGCCGGAGAGCGTCACGGAGACCAGAAAGCAGTGGGTGGCTGTTAAGCATCTCCAGCAGAGGGATTGTCAGCCCGGCTGTCTGCACTGTGGCCCCGACATCTGTGAGCGATCAGGGTCATAAATAGACAGGAAGAGGGGTGCAGGCGAACCCCTCTGTTGGTGCTCACAGATTGTTTAAAAAGGAACTCCTGAAAAGTCCTTAAAGCCAGAGGGGACCAGGTCATTTGCATTTACATTTAACAGTGTAAAATTCAGTGTCATGATAACTGGCAATTTATTTTTTGAAGCCCTTATCCTGGTCAAAATCATGAGTCTTCACGGTTTCTTCTCCTGGGCTATTATTGGGCATTTTATTACCAAGTGGTAACAGGGTTGGAGTCCGAGTCTTGGCCAGTCAGGGCCTGCAGAATGCCTTGGAGGGTGGAGTCTGAGTCATGTGGCAGCCAATGAGAGATGTGGAATGCGTCTGTGGGCAGGTGCGCGTAGCACAGCCTGTCCTACACGTCTGTGAGATGACTCAAAGCCGGGTGGCATGACTCACCACCATGGCTGGCATTTCGGCAAGACCGCAAGCCAAATGTCATCCCGCCCACCCCCACACACACGCACGCATCGGCATCTCAACCTGCACTGTACAGTCACAAGTATCATTAACTTGGAGGTTTTGGCCCTGACAGCACTGGGTCTGCAATGTCAGCCATATCCGCAAAATCGCACGATTTTTCCTTAATGCGCTCAACGCGACAAGTTAATCATTCTCTTTAAGTAGATTTCTTTGATCTAACCAGGGAGCCCATGAGTGCCTTTTTTATACCAAGATGAAAGGATGTTGGGTTTTCTTGCTCTATGGAAGGAGGATTTGAAGTGGGTCAAGTTATATCCGAGGCATAAGTCAAATCAGTTCATCTGCAAGTAACATGTTTTTTTTTTTTTGGTCAGATAACAGTGCGTGGCATGGTAGGAGCCTCCACTGCCCCAATCCTTTAAGGCCCCTGTCAGGGGAAAGGGGGCTAGAGAGGGCCTCACAGCACGGAGTGTTGAGTGGATTAGGGATATGTGGGGCTTTGGGGATTGGTCTGTCAGCTCTGCATGTCCATTCTCCAGTCCTCGCTGGTAATGGCAGTGTGAGTGGTGCACTAGAGCGTGACCCTCCATGGCCCACCGGCCAGCCGGCGCGTTGCCACCGCTACTGCCACCATCGCCAGGCCGCTGCTGTCAGGAGAGGGTGCTGCTGTAGCAGACCAGATGGCGAGGAGGGGAGAAGGTGAACAAAATTCGGAATAAATAGCCCCACACACACCTCTCCCCCCCCAAATGCTGGAAACGTCCCAGGGCGGCTGCCAAGGCTCTCATGTGACTGATGTCCGACTGAGACATTAACTCACGTTCCTGTTTTGGGAAAAGGACGATGTGACCGCTTCCAGCGCCCGGCCGTTTAAAATCCGAGCTCTGTTCCTCGACATTTTATTACCTCAAGGGAATACAAAAGATGACTTAAGAGTTGAAATTATCATAGCGGAGTCCCTTTGAACCATTGTTGTTTCTGAGCAATGTTATGTGCTTGCTGAAACGATTTTCTTGCGTTCATTTTTCATAGCCTGGCCTCACAGAAATGTGTTGCAATGAATCCACACACAGCTCTAGCGGATTGTGTTGTACACTTACATTTTGCACTGGGCTGGACTACCAGTGACCTGCTGCTGACTTGCGTCTGTGGAGATCCCAGAACTCCACCATCTCCACATCAGTACTGAGCCCTTCCATATTATTAATCATGCTATGATTTGGTGACTGACTCACTGTTGACCCAGCTGATTCTACAGTGCAGAGGGAGAGATTTCAGATGGTGACCAGCTGTCTGGAGCTGATTAAGAAACATGCTGTTTAGAGGTGATGTTTTGTTTGGATTGCGATCCTGTACAGATTAGTTACTCTTTCCCACAAGATGAAAGAAGGTGTGCTGAAAACCTGGGCAGTTGGTGTAAAATTCGAGATGTGCTCTTGGGGCCTGAGGCTGTGTCCGGTGACAAGCATCACAGCTGTGACTCCTGGCGTCCCTCTGCTGTCGATGAGAACTGTTGGATTTGAGATTCTGGTTCCTTTTTGCAGAACAACGGGACCTTTCAAGAGGGACCTTTAGAGCATGAGATTGGTGGACATTACTAATACAAGGTGGAATGCATCCAGTGCCGTGAGATATTTTTGTAAAGGATCCAGTAACATGAAGCTTCTCCAACTAATCGTTCATGCAATATGGTTTGCATGTGGGCCTTGAAATTCTTACTGGGGTTCTCATGTCCCTGGTGAGATAGCCTGCCCAATAGACAGACATGTGAGTACAGCTACATGAAACTGCCCAACTAGCTCAGTCAGTAGAGCATTACACTCTTAATTTCAGGGTCGTGGGTTCGAGCCCCACATTAGGTGCTGCATATCTGCAAAAGCTATGTTCCTATGGAAGAAGACAATGAGCAGTAGATTGTGTTGAACTGCTTAGTGGTGCCAAAGCTGGTTATCCTGTCAAATATAGGGCAGCAGGGCAGTGTAGTGGTAAGGAGCAGGGCTTGCAACCCAAAAGGTTGCTGGTTTGATTTCCCCACTGGGGCACTTCTGTTGTACCCATTGGCAAGGTATACAATCTACACTTAGCTCAGTGTATATCGAGCTGTATGAATGGATGACACTGTAACCTATGTAAGCTGCTTTGGTAAGAGCACTTGTTTAATGATAATAATGTGATGTAATGTATAGGCCACTTACTTGAAGTGCAGCGTCTTGGCACATGGTTTCGGCTGGACCAGCAAGTCTTGAGAGAGGAGGGAGCTGCTTTTCTTAGCGGCTCACACATGCAGCTTTGCAGCTGATGGATCGATAGCATCTCATTTATCACATGCTATTGTCGTTACAAGTTAACTAATTCATCCAGATTCCGCTTTTGTACAGATAAAGTGGGCCACTAAAAGACTGTTTTTTTGTACATTGCTGTGGGTCTGTTGCTTTTGCACACCGCCAAAGGGTCAGGCAGTCTGTGCTGCGGTGCTGTTAGCATCAAGAGATCAATTTAATCTGCTTTGCCTTTTTTAATCTCTGCATTTTAATATTTAAAAAGGATCAGATCTTGAAGTAAAATATCTACTCATGAAAGAGTAGAGCTTTCAACCCAGAAATATTGGCTCAACTGTTGAATTATCTTGATGTGGAGAATATGCAGGTCAGAATATGCATGGTCAGACATCAGTGACTATTTACTCTGCTTGGTTTTGATCCATCCAGTGAGTGGAGGGTTTGGGAACACCCTCTGTGAAGGAGGGGGGAGGTGATTGAAACAATCATTTTTCAACATGGTACATTTTCATCTCTCTGTCTGTCTCACTTTGACTCTAATGTGTAGGAAAGAGCTGGAAAATAACCTCTGGAAATGACACTCATCTGAGTCATTTTCCTGCGTCACAGATTTGGTAAAAAGAAACATTACACTTCTCACCGCTCATCGGTTAGAAAGGCTGTTCCACAGGCTACTGCAAATGACAGGTCAGATCTTTCAGGAGAGAGAGCTTTATGCAAAATTAGCCAGACCTTGACATGCAATAGGAAAATAAATGATGTAGAACGATGATATCCACGTTTCATCCTGCAGTCTGTACGTGTGATACTTGGCCTCTTTTCCAGACTGCACAGAAATGCAAAACCTTTGATACAGGGACCCAGGCAGGTGAAGCCTGTCACTGTTTGAATACAGTGATGTTCAGACGTGGAGGACAGCTCAGATGTAGATGAAAGAAAGACGAGCCAGTGAGTATGCCTCTGAAGGAGATAGGGGAGAAGACAGAAGAGACTGAGACGACTCCCATGGAGAGGAGGAAAGGCGTGCAGGGTGCTGATGTCACTAAATGGCCTTCCCATTTAAGGCTGGTGCTGGAGGAACAAAGGGGTCCATCAATGCTCTCCGTCTGAATACAGACACCATAGTAACCGGACAGGCTATTTTGACGTTGGTTTGAAGAATTGACGCATTCCGTGCAGTGTTCAAACAGAAAGCATATGTGACCAAGAAGAGGCTATTGCTCTTATTGTAATAATGGATATATGCTTGATGATAAAATGATGATTCCTTCTTTAAGCAGAGGAGGTTGTGAGAAGTGGAACCCCTGTGAAGTATAACCCTCAGTGGTGATAGCAGCAGTAACTGAGATCTGCCCCATATCCCATCCTCTCAGACAATTCAGTGGAGCGTGCCTCTCACAGGAAGAGCTGCAGACCCTCCGATAGCCACAGCCTCCTCTATAAAGACATCCGTCAAGGTCACTCAAGGTCTCTTAATGAAGGGGGCTTCTCCCATTAAGAATACATTACCACACTGACAGTGTCTAATTGGAATCTGCACTGCCCCCTGCTGAGTGGTGCTGGTACTGCAATGGTTTGTGTCTGTGTGTGTGGGGGTGCACCTCTTTGCCATTCCAAATGCGTTCCTGTGGTGCTGCTGTTATATCGGCTTTGTGCTCCTTGCCATCTCTCTTGCCTGTATTAATTAGATCAGGACAGCTTGGGAGAAGTTTAGGGTGAGTACCCCCCCGCGCCCCTGTCTCACTCACCCCCCCCACCGTACTGGGGGGATATTCATGAGGGAGTGGGGTGGTTGTGGGGGGCGGGTAGTTTTAGAGGGGGGAGGAGGTGGTCTGCAACGACACGTCCTCGCCACGCTCCAGGGGTTGCCATGGCGACGGCAAGCGGAGTGAATGAATGACATCATGGAGACTGGGGAGGAGAGCGAGTGTGAAATTGATTCGGCGGCACGGAGGAGCACACGAAAGAGGCACGCTTCCCCTTCTCTCCGCTCTCTCCCCCTTCGGTACGGTAGGAGATCCCTGTTGTTTTTTTTTTAAATGAGTGTTAGCTGTGTTCGGGTCGTGCAGTGTGGATGATTCTACCTAATCCTGCCTGTTGTGGGTTCTCTGTGGAAAGAGGATTTTTCTGTGACTGTCGCGTATGAGCGTAGAGTGCGAGTGTGTGCGTCTGTGTGTGTGTGTCTGTGTGTGTGTGTATTGCTGCGGGCGAAACAGTGCTGTCAAAGCAGGCACAACGCGCCATGCGCTCGCCCGATCTTAAATTTACCTTGAAATGCTAATGAGGGATGAGGTGTCGGGGCTTTGCCGGCGACATTGGGGGTCGGGTCATTTCATGAACATGGGCTTTTATGTGAGATGTCAGACCTCTTTTGGTGTTCCTCCTTTCATTAAGCTGAAAGTGAACAATTGCTCACGCTCAAATATAGCACCATGCACATATGAATATGGAATGTGTTTTTTTTTTTTTTTGGCATGGTTCAGATAACGTAGTATTTGAAGAATTCTCTCTGTGGCATCCCTGAATGCTGCTGAGCAGATGTAAGAATTGACTAATTCCACCATGTGTCTGGGAGAGTCTAACCTTCACATCTATTAACCCTGATATGCATGTAAGTGAGGCGGTGACACCAAGCCAGGGTCTGAATGGGGAATAAATGTGTTTGCACCCAAAGTCCTTAACACGTGCCTTTAATTAAAGACCCCCTCCAGAAAGGACATCTCCGGAAGTGTTTGTCATTTGTTATTAGTTATTCGTACATGGGGATCTGTGGAATGGTTTGGTCATTTGCTTTCCTCTTCCTGTTCTTTCTGGAAGCTCCGCCTAGCAGGGGTAAAGGGTCAAGGTGAGGTTATAAGGAGGGGGGTGTGCGCCTGGTCTGTTTGCTAGGTTCGACCGGACGAAAAGGTCTTGACCTCCGGAAATTCGCCCTCTCTCAGTACGTGATCTGGAACCCCTGTGCCAACCAAGAGTCTTTGTCGTGCCGAGACTGCTGCTCAAAGGTGCAGAGAAACATCGACAAACGTGTCAGAGCTGGCAGTTTTGCTTGAGCGATTAATTATTTATGCCCCTGATTATGCATAGAGGCTGTATTGCACAGCTTAATTTAAAACAGGTCCCCTGTACTCTGGCAATATTGCAGAGAGCAGGATCACAAATCCAGGGCGTCTGCTTGATATGACCCAAGCCTTTTTTTTTTTTCCAATCCTCTTACTCTTGCTCGATCAAAGTCTTTTTGATGGTAGCACGTTGATGGTTTGTAGTACATTTTACATGTGCTTTTTGTGTGTGCCAGCTGTTTAGCAGAAACTGAAAGACACAGGGTAGTTGTGAATGTGCAGCATGGCTCTGTCTTGCTTGTGTGGTGCTTAAAGGGCGACTGTTGCCATTTTTGGCAAATATCAAGCAAGCTTACCCTCCAGCTCTGACCTGCCTTTTCATCATGTCGCCTTTTCTTTTACAAAAGAAAGGTTGCCAAAGGCAAGCCTGAATGCAGCTGCAGAAATCTCAAACAGGAGCTGTGTGAAACTGGTGTGTGTGGTTGTGGAATCTCGCCAGGACTGGTTTTTAATGCATCACACATGCAAGCATCTTTCTTTCCTACAGTGACATATTTGCTGAAATCGTACCTGCAAGGATTTATGAAATTGAAATTTCTTTTGGACCGAAAACTGTTTGGTTCTTCTCTCCACTTCTGAAGAGCTGAGTCCTTGTCTGGGACAGTAGTGCTGTTATGTAGTGCTGCTCTCTCTTTGTTTTCTTTTTGGTCCAGAATTCAGGGCACCTCTTCTTTTGGTCCACATGGTTGTTGGTGCTATTGCTGATGAGTGGAGTTCGGAATTATCATATTAAAATTACATTAAAATTATATATGTATCCAAAATATAAAAAAGTCCGTTAACACTATTGGAAGGTAGCATAACAATTTTTGCAGCCAGGCTCTCTGGGCTGAGTTTCTTTCTGTCCCTGCTCCCACTGTGTTCTTAGATGGGGGCTGCCACCTTCAGATGGTGTGAGTGTGACTTCGGGACTCCTGTCACTGATTTTTCATGAGAGTGTGGAGACCGAAAGCTGTGGATCACTGGATTACACAAAGTTACATTGTGAGTTCTGGGGCTCGCCTTCCTCTCCTCTGAGTCTTGTTAAAATTGCAAGCGGTGTCTGGCCAATCCGTGTTTTCAAAGGGCTCCTTATTTCACCGGAGGCTTTATTCACCCATAACAAAAAATCTGATTTCAGCAGGTATTTTGTTATCAGGTTCTGGTAAGGCTGTTCGCTGTGCTCAATCTTCGCTCCCTCTCGCCCAGTCCCCCTCTTCCTTTCCTTCTTTCTGTCTCCCTTTTTCCTCTCTCTTTCTTCTGCCCATAACAGTTGTCAGGCCTTTGGCGAGGTTGCCTGGCAACCAGATGAGTTTGTTTACACTACAGTGTGGTGGGCGGGGTGGGGCGAGTGGAGAGTTTGGAGGTGTGGGAAGATGGACTGACTGACCCCCGCCTTTGGCTGGGGGCCCTTGGCTCGCGTGGAGCTGTGGTCAGACGGGCCTCGGGGGCTTGTAATGCTTTAAATGTAGGTGCGGGCAAATC